ACTGTCCACTGCCCATTATTTTAAACCTTTTCAATATGAAAGCGTCATTATTTTTTTTTTTATGGTGATCGCATATTGATTTTTTTGTATTTTATTGTAATAAATCTACTTTTATATCACCTGGTTTTAATTACATTACTCATTCCAGTGTTTTAACTTGTATTTTTAAATTGGTTACTAGGTCCCTAACCTAGGTGGCATTGCTGGCTTTTTAATCTAGTACATTTTAATTGGGTTTCATATGAAATCATTGTTTTAAATCTCTCCTCTTGGCCACACAAGTTCTGCCACTTAAAAAGATGAGGGAGGCCTGTAATGCTCATCATAGGTAAACCTGAACTGTGAGAGAATGAGAAATCCAGAACATCACATTGTCTGATGTTTAAAGAATGTCTTTGCAAATTATAGTGGAAACTAAGTATCTGGTCACATACAAACAATTCAAGATTAGTGGCGCCCTTCTGAAAGAGGCTCTTCTGTCCTGTATTAATGTTTGAATTTACCACTGTTGTAGAAATATAACTGGGATTATAAATCAATTTAACTTAAGAATGAATCTAATGATGAATTAGGGTATCTGGGACAAAGTTCAAGCTAATCAATCTGTTCAAGCTAACTAATCTGTTGTTCTGTACACTGTAAAAAGTGTTGCTTTAATCAGAAACAAAAAAAATTCTGTAACAGGTTCCATCGGCTTTTTTGAGTACTATCAACTTTAGCTCTTTATTAAGTAATAAAGAATATTAAATTCAATTTGACAGAAAGCAAAACTATTACTTTGAAGTGATGGATTTACTTAAAATGTGTGTGTCCTTTCAAAGCTAAACTAACTTGGAGATGATCAATATACTCAATATTTTTGTGTTAATTCAAAATGAAACTTTCTTCCACCTGGAGAAAGTTTGTTAGTTTTTGTAATCCTTACATTGTGTGCTTTTGAACTCTGAAACCCTCATGCTGGGGAGTAAATGTACTTGCAACCCGTTTAGGACTTGATTTTAAGCAAGCATCATGACCATGTTGTAGTATCTGGTGTCTGATTTGAACCCAGGGAGTATAGGGGTAGTTTGGCTTGGCCCTGTCGATGACGGTTGGTAAAAATAAATACAATTACTTACTTGATCAAATTAGTTTATTCAAAATGTTGCTCAAGTATTTTGCCCTAGGACTTGCTTCATATTCATTCTTAAAATGAATGCTCAAATGTAGATTTTTTAAGAAGTTTATATTTTTCTCTGCAATCCATTCTGGGTAGCATCACTGCTTTGCCACATTTTGTTTTCAATCAACACAATCATCATTTGTTTTGTCATTAATGGGCCACCAGGCTCATTGAAGAAATGTTTAAAGTATTTTCACTTAAAGCAATAAAATCAGTATTGTACAGGGTGCTATGATAATATTATACAGTACTTATTTGTCAACCAAAAATATAGAATAGTGGAAAATGAAGTATATAGTTATTACTTAAAATATTTTACATCAAAGTTTGGTCTGATTCACTTATTACAGTGTAGACGGCGAGGCCGATGACAGGATAGAGGCAGATACAGTACTAGCTTGATATCGGGGCAAGAGGAGCGTGGTCACTGGTCATACTGACCATTCTTTCTAATATCAGAGTAATATCAGAGTCGTATCAGAGTAAGACGTCAGAAGAGACGGGGGTTTGAGCGACTGCTCCCACTTAATCTCGGACTCAGAGACTCAGAGCACTATGGAGCAGATCTACTCGAGACCTCCTCACGCGGTGACAGTTGTATTTCCTGTATATGTATACATTTACTGAGATAATAAACCACACTTTGATTGTTTACAGCTCTTTGTTGTTTATTTTATATTTAATTATTGTGTATTTCAATCCTCAGAAATTCCACAACACCACCAACAGTGAATTCCTATTTCCATGTGATGTTTCTGGTTGTCATGAAAAGCATTATTAGTAACCTCATCACCACCATGGATTGTATGTTTTAACAACGTCTCAGACATAACTACAGTACCAATGTATCGGTCATAATGACAAATTCGGGATGGTTGGCACTATGAATACAGACCAAATATGTCTTGTTTTAACCATAACATTGGGTGGACACATAATTACTAACTGGACTTGTTAGAACCACCAACACCAACCACACAAATTGTATGTTTAACCTATACATCTTCTACCACTGCAAATGTTTAGGCTTTTCTGAATACTGGAATAGTTTGTTAAATATAATTTAAGGTTTGATACACTAAATCACACTAGGTCAGACCCAGTAAAAAACCCAGTAAAAACAACAGGTGTTCTGTTAAGAATCAAAGATATATGATTCCATTAGACACATATTTTTATTGAAATGTTTTTTACATAAATACATTTTTAGCCCTATGCCAGAGCAGTTTAGTATTCTTTTTGTTCATATTTTACGTTATGTTAGCCTACTTTAAAAGTCACAATGTTTTAATATAAAGATAAAACCTCCTTTCATTCAAACATGTATTAATATTCTATATATTTGTCACAATTAAAGCGGGGGTATTTATACCGTCACTTTCTCAAAAACATAAGCACTGTTTATAACTATAGTTCTGGCTGTGGTTCCTTGGTTCACTAGTTTCAAACAGAAAACTCAATCAGCTCTTACCCCAAAGCATCAATTAGTGATAATAATGATCTCTCCATAAATAATGTTTTCTAATAAGAAGAAGACACTTGGCCTGACTTGTTAATTTTACCTTTACAAGACTATTTCTATTAACTCTTGAAATAGTTTCATATCTGACTCTAAATAAACCCAAGGTTTTAAGTACATAAATGTATTTGCAATGCTTCCCAGGAAAATTTCTCACCCATCATCTGTACTTCTTAGCAAGTTTTCCCGAAGAAGTACAGATGATGGGTGAGAAACCTTCCTTTGCTTTGACTAATCCCTGTACGACCGAGGGCTTACACAAACATCCCAGGAAAATGGCAATTCGATATTTTGCCAAACTGGTGCAGATTTGTTTACAATGTCGTCTTGTTGGTCCCTCCAAATGACTCCCGCACGTGATGTCAATCCACTCTGTTATTGTGGCAGCTCTGAAATGCTTCGTCTTTATCAGTTCTCAAAAAAAAAAGGGGACTTTACACACTACTTTGACTTTCCACAGCTTTGTGACCGAGTTTCAACAGTTTTCCCTTTGTCAGAGTGTGTACACTTTGACAATTTGGCACTTTACGGTCACAGCTCCGTCACTGTGGCAGGTCAGGTCTCCCATCACGGATTTCAACTCTTCAAAAGACAGGCGTCCATTTATAGTAAAAATAACTTTTGTATTTGTATTTTTGTATTTTTCACCCCGTTCTTATGGAGATTTGTCTTGTCTTTTATAATAAAAGTGAACTATTTATTTGGGAATTTTTCAAATATATATTTCTTAGTTATTACATTTTAAGATAAGAGATCCATTATTCGTCTCAAATTGGGGAAATTAACCGCTTGGTTTGGACCATTATTAAATGTTAAACTTTTTAGTAGTACTTTGGTATAATAAGAATAATGCATCGGTTTTATATAGCGCTTTTTTGGACACTCAAAGACGCTTCACATGTGTCATTATTCATTCACTGATAAACTACTACTGTAGCCACAGCTGCCTTGGGGCACACTGAGAGAAGCGAGGCAACTAGTATGCGACCGACCAACCATTCACACACACACCAGACTCATTCTAGGCAATGGGGGTGAAGTGTTTTGCCTAAGGACACAACGGCAGTTTGGCACTTTACAGCTGCAGCCGCCCCACTGTGGCTGGTGTTCCCAGAGGTTAAGTGTCTTGCCAAGGACACAACGACAGTAGTCAGTGGGAGTTGATGGACCCACACCCTTCTGGCTCAAAGGCCAACGCTCTACCAACTGAGCTACTGCCGCCCCTATACAGGACGGGTCACAGCAGCAGTGATGGTGAAGCCGCTTGGTTCGGACCATTTTCTCTGGTCTGAACCAAGTTAGCCGTCCTTAATTGGATTTTTGCCTGATCCGCTTGGTTTGAACCATAATCCTCTCCGCTCCGGTCTGGACCAGTGTATAACCATAAACACTGCACTTGCAAAAAGAAAGAAAAAAACATAAAACAATTGTAAAGCACAAAAATAAAAACTGTTTCAAAGCTTCTTTAGGACTTGCTGCCGTTTCCTACGCATTCAAAAGTAAACCTCTGTAGTTAGGGTTAGGAACTCATGAACACTTTATGGCCGTCATTTTACTGTCACTACTGTAACTACTGACGTCTATAGTGTTTACTTAGTGGAAAGTAAAAATATGGAAAGTAAAAATTAGTTTTACTGTACTGCTAGTGTTTGGGACGTTCATGCTTGGAGCATGTGGCAAAGCCTATATCCTTGATATAATGGATATGAACTCATATTACGTCTTATATGTCATACTATGTGTCATATAAAAAGAATAATGAATGCACTGTAGATCCGATTCAAGAGAACATGTGAAGAGGCATTAAGGTCAGCAGCCGGAAGGTTATCAAACTCAAAAGAAATAAAAGTGTTATTGACTGATTATAGAAAAGAAAGACGGCAGAAAGAAAACTTCTCCTCTGACAAATGCCCAAACAGAAGAAGAGAAATGATGTGAAGAAACTTGACAACAATATCAGTCTATAAGTTCTTATTTTAGAGAAAGTTTTATAAAGTACAAAAGTGAACTTGTGTACAGGTAGTGCTGGGTGTAACTTACTTTGTTACTGAAATGTAATCGAATACTTTCGGTCATTACAGCTACTGACAAAACCAATTAAGAAATTCAAAATAAATTAACTAGTACACTTTCTAGGGGTCGTACCTAAGTAGTGTTACTTGAATGTGTTTCTGAAAAGTGAATGTATTTACAATGTGAAGGAGGATGACACAGAGTTGCCTCCGCCCTTTACAACAAAATATTGACATAATCCAGATAATTCTCGAGCCATTAATGTTCTGTATCTGTTCATGATGGACAGGTGTAACATTTCACCACATGCACACTACGCTCACACATGGTACAGAGGTGTCCGATTACACACTGCAGCCAATCAGAAGCCGTTCCTTGCATACTTCCTGGTTCCTCCTGAGTACACCTGCGTTAACCTGCTCAGACTGACAGACTCATGACAACAGGGATCTGCGTTGAGCCACATACCTTCACTGACAGCACTCTGCACTACTCTGCACACGTTTAAGGTACTATTTTATCTAATTTATCCACACTTAAACACATCACGCCAAACCAATGAAGCCACTCTAGAATGCTGCAAAATAACAATTATCCAGCCAAGTTTGCATTCACTTAAATTACATATGAACTTATCTTGTGCCAATTTGACTTGACAAGTAATGGAGGATGTGTTATGCTAAATGACAAAAAAAAATATATATATATATATATGTTAAACTTAGACTAAGACAAACAAGTTAAAGCACTATTTTAAACGTTTCCTTCTTTTGACAGAAAGCATTTCTTGACATGTCTAATCTACTGAAATATAGACACTATGTTCCTAAGAAGTATATTAACTCAAAAATGGTTTGATTTCGTATATATGTAAACTTGAAATGGTTAAAGCTGGGGTACCTAATGTTATGTGTGTATGAGCAATAAATGCATTTTTATCCAATAGAGTCTTGTAAAAGTAAAGGTTGTGGACCACATCTTGCAAACTTTTCTTTTGCATACACAGCTGTTTGACTCTTTGGGCTGAGGGATGGGTGAGGGTGGTCCTCATGTTTTCACTTGTCCGTCTGAAAAGGTTGATCGAAAAGATGTGATGTGTGGCCATGCATGTGAAAACGAGTGACACAACCAAACTGTTGTGAGTTTTACATAGTTCAATTTTTGTTGTTGTTTTAAAGTTAGGTATTCTAGCTTTAACTTCCCATTGATTTTAGAAAAGAGGAGCCATAGCAGCAATATAGTTACATGTTTGGAGAATAAAGTACAAGAGCACAATTATAAACCGCAGCTACAACCGTAAACAGATTAGGAATCTTTTGTCTAACTAAAGCCCTGTAGCCCCTCCCAGGCCATTACTCAAAACTAGACAAACATAAAAGTGTTGGGACTTGAGAGGGCCAAAAGCAAAGCAGGATAATAAATATGCTGCCAGCCAGAGCAAATACAGCCGCTCGTTTGAAAGGACACACTCTCCCAGCTCTCGTCGGTGACGGACCCGCGCCCCCCATGGCCACCTTATCATAAGGGCTAGCAGGGACTGAACCCAAGGGGCCCACTATAATCAAGGTTCGGCAGAATTAAGGGGTAAAAAGAGTTATTAGCTTGTAGGTTGCTATGCTAATTTTATCATTTTTGACATTTTTGAAGCAGGGTTTCTCCAAGTTTTCTTTCGTAGGTGTTTTTGACATTACAGATTGAGATTTTTTTTGGGGTCTAGGGGTACCTTAAAGGGGCCCTGTGTGTCCCCATGTGCTTTTCATGACTTGTAAACAACCGGCACACATATCGTGACGCTCACCATATTCAGCCATCAGGAGTTTGCTGGTTACACCTTCTCTTGTATCTTTATAATTATAGTAATAACGCACTTTTATGTAGCGTCTTTTTCAACACTTAAAGTTGTACACCAACAGACGTTTGCCTTGTGTGTGTGTGTGTGTGTGTGCGCATGTGAGTGTACGTGCGTGTGCATAAGTGCATGTGTGTATGTGCGTACATGCGTGTGTGTATGTGCGTGTGCGTGTGCGGGGTGGAAAATTACTATGCTTCAGTATCTTTATATCTGTCTTCACTTTACTTGACATTTTCTTTTCGGATAACTTTTTACTTAAATTCCTTACTTTTGACTTCTGCACAACAGCCCCAATGTTTGTGCCATGTCCAAAGGCGTGATCACCACAACAGGTTGGAAGTGGCTCAACATACAATTAGAACATTGTTCAAAAGTTCATCCATTTCTGTAATTCAGCTTACAATGCGAAGTGGCAAGCCTTAGTTTGTTATAACTTTGATGATTATGGCTTACGATCAATTAACAAAAATATTCTGAGTTTAATTACAGAAGTAAAAGGACCTTTGAACAGTATTCTAATTTTCAGAGTTTCAGCAGTATCCGGTATACATTACTTTTCAATAAAGCTGACGTTGTGAATCTTCAATGTGCTGAGAAGTGCTGATGAATTTCTCACTCAAATGGTTTTGTTGGTGAATTAAGGCTTGAGGCGTCTTGGTCCATTGTAATGACAGTCAGAAAAGACTTAAAGCTGGACAACTAACCCTAACCCTTACAAATTACACCGAAAAATAAAGAGTACTATATATAATCAAAGCTTTTCTTTGCTTTCAAAATAGTTTTCACTTGCCTGTCACGTCTTTAGAGTGAAAAGACTTTGACTTTTGATGCTTTGGGCTGACAGGCGATTGGCTGAGTCCCCACACTCACCCAAAGCATCAAAAGTCAAATAGTGTCTCACAAGAATCTTTCTTCAACATATGCAAAAGATTTAAAAAAAAATCTAATAAGAGGAGCACGTTATATGGTCTGGTTCGTTCCCATTTAACTCTTCTGCTATTAAACAAACAATAACAGGAGAGTCTTGTTTTTTATTTAGCAAGGAGAAACTAGATGGAACAAATCCAGTTTTAAATCAAGATATTTTTGTCTTTATGTAAAAGAAACGTTTTTCTATTTGTTGCTGTGCATGCGTGCTCAGAAGTGTCACACACTTGTTATAACGCCCTGACAAATTGACAAGCAGCAGTCGGCGTTTAAAAGCAGGAGATAGTTTTTTCTGACGCGTGGCTCGGCTGCAGAGCTGATATTTCCTGCTTCTTATGTAGACTGCAGCTCAAGAAACGGCTGCGTGTGTTTCCGCTGTTGGAAGAATGAGGGGAGCGTGAGCTGTGCTGACCCACGCTCTGCTCTTACACTGCAGTGAAACTTTCCCTCAGACATGGTGTGTTTTGTCAGAACTGCCAAAAAGAAATAGATCATTGAGCGTCATCAGAGGTCACATCTTTTGAACATCAAGCTACATCAAAGGATTAAAAACCACTTCAATCTGGACAGACTCATACAAGGGACGTGCTGCGTTATAATGATGGATACGTTTGCGTGAACTACAGGTGAAACTCAGAAAATTAGATTCAAAAGGTTATTCATTTCTGTAATTCAACTTACGACTGTATAAAGGGTTTTGATTTTGACCTGTGAAGACGAGTCCAACTGGCTTTTCATCATTTAAGTAACTGGCCGTTGCTTTGAGAGGCATAATCTCTCTATAGCAGGACATCATCACCTCCAGTACACGTCAATATTTTTTCCAAATTTCTTCACAAACTGTAATATCATTGCTGTGAACTATCATTAACAATAAAAACTGATAAAGTACAGTATGAGGTAATAATTGCTTGAACCAAGTGTTTGGTTTTTTTCATCCCAATTTGCGTACATTCTTAAAAAGGGAAAAATGTCTTTTTTTAAACAAGATCATTTTGCTTCGTCCCACTGCTAAATCTAATGTGCTCAAATTAGATACATTTTGCCAAATTTGAGCAGTTTTTGACTCATTTTGCATTGCAAGCATCAAAAAAAAACTCTAGAACATACTTAAAGACCACATCTGATAGAGAAGTAACGTTGGCGTCTTTCTTCACTAATATATGTGTAAAGTTTTTCTGCTTCTTCTGAATGGTGTGTCTCTGTGGGCTGGTGCATAAACGCGCTCTCCCAGGACCTATTGTGATTGTCAGCGCTCTCATATCCTCTCTGTTGTTTTGTGGCTTGGCCCGGGGCTCGCTTGCTCTCGTACACACATCACTTTTTGTGTTTGACTGTTTATCGGCTTCGGATCGCACTCTTATGCTCCCCGACCACCGAGGTACGCAGTGTTATTGTCTTTTTATTTCTTTGTCATTATCGTGCTCTGCTGACAAAAGGCATTAAGTGATTGACGATTTGTGCCTTAGCTAGGAAAAAAACAGTGCTAGTTTGTGGAGATGGCAGTACAGAGAAAACTTTTCAGTAGATGTTTTTTTGACTGGGGATTTTGTTTGGAAAGCAGATTACATCTCAACTTTGTAGAAGATTACTAATCTGGTAACATTTCCAGTATTACAACAACTAATCGAACAAACGCTACACTGCACATGCTTTATTCAAGTGGTTCTTATATTGAATTGTGTACATTTTGAATGACTTTGAACTGTTAAGTCCCATTGGCAAAATGTTAACTCTGCTAAATTTTTAATATTTTTGTTGCTGCTAAATTTCCAATAATTGCTGAAAATAATGTATACTTTGAAGTATTTGTACTTGAATATCTACTTTGAAATCTTATTCAAAAGGAGAAAATGCTTGAAAGTACTTCAGCACTTGAGTACTTTCAGGTAAGATGTGTTCATCTCAACTTCAAGCCACAACTCCTGTTTTAAGACAGTTAGATCAAGACAATTGGGCACGGTCACATAGGTTTTCACAAACGAACTAAACCAAGTGGCCCTTATCGTCGCCACAGGGGTTTATTTTTCTAAACGTGCCAGACTAAATGCGCTGTAGTACAATGCTCTGTCCAGCTGATGGCACTAATACTACCTTCAGCGACTACCTCGTTGTCAGGAGTTAAGTTTCCGTTTCTCTTCCTGTTTACATTTGGCTACTGAGTCCACAGCGTGAGCATGGATCGCGTTGTTAGCACGACTGAAGACTGTGTTATTGCCAATAGCACTGCACTGTGACAGCGAGGGTCAAAACAGAAGGGAGTTATCACCGTAGGAAACACTTCTCTTTGGCCCTGGAGCGACAAGTCTTCCCTGCGCCCCTCAACCACGGTCCGGGGGCTCACATAAAAGGTGTTACACTAGCAGGGAGTATGAGATTGCAGGGAGAGACGTGTGTGAAAATGCACGTCACGGCGGGTGCAGCAGGAAGACGTAATGAGACGCACAATTTCACGTCCCCACTACACCTCATCCCGCGATGCTGAAGCCCAGTTGCCGCAGTCACATAGCACCTAAATACTGTATCTAATCACGAAACTGTAGTTTAGGTTGTGTATGTGACCACAGCCAAAGATTATTAAGATGAGAGAAAACGGGTTCTTTCCCTTGTTCTGGCATTTTGACATCAGTCTTGAATCTGAAAACCACTGAAATTGGAAATTACATTTCCACACTTCTCTTTACGCTTTGTATTAATACTTTTTTCTTTGAACATTGATAGTTCTATTCC